TATTCAGAGAGAGAGAGAGAGAGGCAGAGAGAGAAGCAGGCTCCATGCAGGAAGCCTGACGTGGGTCTCGATCCCGGGGCCCCAGGATCACACCCCGGGCTGCAGGCGGCGCTAAACCGCTGCGCCACCAGGGCTGCCCTCATCTATGGCTCTTAGTTCTACCTTCTGGGCTTTTGGTTCTACCCTCTGGGCTCTTGGTACCCTCTGAGTCATCCTTCCTTTTGTATAGAAAAAAATCCAAATTTACAACTGTGTATGTTTCACAGATTGCATTTTACCAGAATTCTGGGTGTCAGAAGATATCTATTCACTTTGTATTGCCTCTGATTCTTTCAGTCCAACTGGGCAGTGTTCCTCTGAACATTTCTTAAAATCAGGAGGCTCTTGTGAATCTTGAGGTTCATTCCATTAGACAAAAGGTATCCTCACAAAGTTCTTCAAGATGAACCCTTCTATATAGCCTTGAACTTCTGTTGAGGAACAACGAACACCCTTAAGCTTCTCAGAATTCTACTGTTTGAATGAGGATTCATGAGTCATATCCTTAAATCTTTAGAGGACTTTTTACTTAAATGAACAGTATTCTGAGGTTAACACTTTCAATCTTCCTTAGATCTTGACAAAGGATGTTACAGCTACTCCCTTCACTTCATCTTTGGACTGTGTTTTCCTGGCATAGCCATGGATTTATTTCATCTTTGTTCAGAAGCCATTTCTTTTTTTTAAATTTTTTTTATTTATTTATGATAGTCACAGAGAGAGAGAGAGAGAGAGAGAGAGAGAGAGGCAGAGACACAGGCAGAGGGAGAAGCAGGCTCCATGCACCGGGAGCCCGACGTGGGATTTGATCCGGGGTCTCCAGGATCACGCCCTGGGCCAAAGGCAGGCACCAAACCGCTGCACCACCCAGGGATCCCCAGAAGCCATTTCTTAACTTTAGCATCATTTGTCACTTGGAGAAGCTGGAAATTTCCAAAACCAGAAAGTTATAGCTTCCTTTTGTCTAATTGTCCTTCCTTTACTTTATCTCTCTCCTTTTATATTTTACTGCAAGTGGCAAGAAGAGACCAGGCAGCCTCTTCAGTATTCTTCATGCAAATCTCCTTAGGTAGATCACTGGATTCATTAGGTGTATTTTCCACTTTTCATCTTGCTGCAGGCAATAGTGTTGCTTAATTTGTGCCAGCACAAAAAGACCCCTTCCTTCAGTGTCCAATGAGATTTCTATGACTTTTCTTTAGGCACTCACTTGCAGCTTCCTCAGAGGCCATCAGGACTCTATTAGCTTTCCAAAAGGCTCAAGTTTCACTAACACTCACCTCAAAGTTCTTCCACCCTTCCATTGCCACAGTAGATATTTTTAGGTTTTTGTTATGTTAGCACTTTTAGGTACCACAACTTGTGTAAGTTATCTATAGCTGCATAACAAATTGCCCCCACAACTTAATGGCCTAAAAGAACAAATATTAAATACTTCACAAGATTTCTGAGGGTCAGAAAGCTGGAAGCAGCTTAGTGGGTCAGTTATGGCTCTTGGTCTCTTATGAGGTTTCCACTCAAGCTGTTGGCTGGGACTGCAGTCAGCTGAAGGCTTCTCTGGGGCTTGAGGATCCACTCCAAGGTGGCACACTCTCATGGCTATTGGCAGAAAGCCTCAGGTCATCTCCGTGTGGCCACCTGAGGATACTGTCTTGTCCCAGAACAGCAGATCCAAGACAGGGAAAGAACAAACAGGAAGATGCTTTGCCTTTTATCACCAATGCTCTGAAATCACACACTATCATTTTTGCTTTATTCCATTCTTTTTTTTAGAAGACTTTATTTATTCATGAGAGACACTGAGAGAAAGAGAAAGAGAGAGAGAGAGAGAGAGAGGGGCAGAGACATAGGTAGAGGGAGAAGCAGGCTCCATGCAGGGAGCCCGATGTGAGACTCAATCCTGGGACTCCAGGATCATGCCTTGAGTCAAAGGTACACGCTCAACAGCTGAGCCACCCAGGTGTCCCTGCTCATTTCCATTCTTCAGAAGCAGGTCACTAAGTCCAGCTCACTCTCACACAGGGGGAATTAGGATTGACCTCTTGAAGGAAGCAGAGTCAAAGAATATGTAGGCATGTGAAAACCATCACACCTATCCATGTTCTTCTCCTTACCCTCTAATTCAAAGGGATAGTGGAGTTTTCACTTTTCCCATGTAGGCACTGTTCCTATTTGAGATTTTGATCTTCTTCTCCCTTAATTGCAGAGATTCAGCCATTGTTAATTATTCTTCCTGTATATTTAATCTTTCCCTCGTCTTCATGCTTTCCATCAGCATTTAAATGTGTTAAAGTTTTTACCCACATCCCTTTCTAGCTAATTTTAAGACATGTCCTCAAAATCTCTGACATTCTTCCCATTAAGAGATAGCTATGTCCCCTTCTGCTTGAATCTTGGTAGGCTGTGACTACTCTTCCCAAAGGGATATGGCAAGTGAGGCACTGTGACTTCTGTTGATAGGTATAGAAGATCACACAGCTCCTTCCTAGTTCTCTTGGATACTCCCTCTTGGTACACTGTCTTGTGAGGACACTCCCTCTCAAAACCCAGCAACCATGCTGCAAGAAACGCAAGCCATATGGAGAGGCTACACGTAGGTGCTCCAGGTAACAGTCACAGCTGAGAGAGTTTTCAGGTGATCCCAGTCTTGGTGTCAGACCTGTGAGTGAAGAAACCTCCAGATGATTCCAATTCCCAGGAGTTCAAGTCACTCCTAGCCATCTGGGTCTTCCCCACTGAGACTCCAGACATTATGAAACAGAGACAAGCCATCTCTGCTGTGACTTGTCCAGTTCTTGATCCATGGAATCCCTGAGCATAATAATATAGCTTTGTTTTATGCCATTAATTTCGGGTTGAAACTGGAACATCCCGTTTACACTCAAATCTTTCTAAAGAGTTGTTTCTTCTCATTATCTCTGTTTCTTTATCCCCCACTTATTCCTCTAATCTGAATTTTGCTTTCTTTCAAGTTTAAGTCTTCTCTGGGGTCTGTGATCTCTGAGTCGTTAAATCTAATAAGATACTTTCTCTTAAGAGAAGTATTTACCACTATTGTCCAGTTCTTCATTTTGAAGTTACTCTTCTCCTAGTTTTTATGACACCATCCTAGGTGTCATCCCAGGCCACTTCCTTGCTCTCTAGTCGCTTCTCTATGTCATTTGCAATTTCACCTTCCTCTAACCAGCCACTGGGTGATAAAATGGCTGCAGTTCCATTCCAAGCCTTCTCCTCTTCTCACTTTGCATTCCCTCTGTATCTATACCCATGGTTCTAATTCCCATCTATATGACATCAGTGACAACATTTTATCTCTAATAATTCTATTAAGTTCTACATCTTATGTCCAGATGCCTTCTTAACATTTTGTACTGGTCAGTACAGAGACCAACTCAGTACTAGTTGCACAGAGACTGGCCTTGGCTGATTTAAGCAGAAATGAATGTATTAAAAGTTCACAGAATTCCAGGAAGAGCAGAGCACAGGGATTGAAGCCTATGCTAAGCAGGCAGAAGGAAGAGCCAAGTCATAGTACAGAGCTGGTCTGGTGATGATACCAACACTGTCTTCAGTGAACAGAGACGTGGCAGCTGTTCTAATAGTCCTAATAGGACCAGCCCTGGATAGTGGATGCTGCCACTAGCAGCCCTGCCACGATGGCACCTGGAGACGTTATCTTGCTACAGCTGTCACTGCTGCAAGAAACATTTCTTTGATGTTCCTGTTTCTTGGTGTCACAGCTCCCTCTTCAAAGTCCCTAGTGTACGCATCTGACTATCAAAGTGTAGAAGACGGGCACTGTCCTAGCTGTGGGGATTCTCGAAAAGCAAGTCACTGGCATTTCCAGGTCCTATTGCAGGAAACAGATTCTACCTCCCACTAATTAATCATAACATAAGGGATTCTCCAAATATATAAATGAGTTTCAGAAGCCAGGACGGGGAAAGTGAGGGGGAAAACAAAACCCGATTACTTCCTCCATGCAACAAAGTGTTTATCACCCATCTGATGTGCTCTCTAGAGGAACAAGTTTGTAGAACTCTTTTGCATGTTTTAATTAAGGCTGAAATAAAACCTTGTGCTATAACAATGCCCAGGTCTTTCTGGGAGAATTCTCATAGGGGATGCTTGCAGAGTAGCTTGAGCACATCCAACCCTCCTGATACTTAGTGGTTTTCAAACATGTTTTCCATTTACCTGTTCAGAATGTGCGGAAATGCAGCTAAATAGCAAAATACCTCTACAGGAATAAGGAAGTGACATTAAGAGATCATTGTGAATACTTTGCCTCCCTCTCATAGAGCATGCAATCCTCAAAATGCATACCTAATTAATGATGGAACCAAAGCAATAAACTTTGTCCCATTTGACTGAGTGTGACATAGAAGAGGCAGCCATACAAAAATGAAAGGTTTTGGCCTTTTTTTTTTTTTTTCCAGTTTTATGACACACAGTGCTTTTCAGGACCTGATTCAGCAAAAGACACTGGAAACTAATTTCTAGAATTCAAGTTTCTGTAGCTGCCGTGAAAATTCACTGATTTAAGATTTTAGCAAACATATAACCTGTTTGCACTTATGGTCATAAATATGTCAAAAGAAAGTCGGCATACAATGAATTTTTGTATTCGAAAACACAAAACCTGCTCTTTTTACTAGTTTTATATTTTCTCTCGACTTAAGCAAGAATTATTTTCCCTTATCTCAGATTTTCTGGGTTTTCCTCTTCAAATAAAACGCTTGTGACCTGTAGAGGTTTTAGAAAAGGTTATCCACAACCAAAACAAGTGCTTCAATCGAGGGAAAAATTGTGTGGAAATCGCTTACATTTGACGTTGCTAAACTTAAGTACAATAATGTCACATGTATTTATACAGTAATTGTGGGCACGCCTAAGTCCCTCCCTCTTTCCTAAACCAAATTCCCCAGATCCTAGAAATCCAGCCCTTCTGCCCTCCGGAGGCGCCTTTCCCAACGTAAAGTACAATTTTAAATTTAAGCTCCTGACTAAATAATGATTCCGTAGTCAACTGCCAGGGAACCCGGGCACCCCGGAGCCTCTGGAGGGTGCAGCGGGGTGTAGGCGAGGGCAGGGGGAGTGGGCGAAGCTGCTGGTTGGTGCCTGAAATCTGTGCGTTGCCCCTTTAATTGTGTCCCCAGCCCTCGGGCGTTTCTATCCAACGCCCACGTCAGCAAATACCTTTTGTTTCTCTCACGTTGGGGCTACTTGTTTTAGGGCGCAAAGGAGCGGCTTCGAAAGTGGGTATTTCCCCTGCGGAGGGCCAGGAATCCTCCCCGAGCCCGCGCGCGCGACCCGCCGGTGCGCCGCGGCCCGCGGTAAGTGGCTGCGCGCGGCGCGGGCGGAGGGCGGGCGGGGCGTCGGGGCTGTCGGGACGGGCCGCGAGCCTCGCTGCGGGCGGCGGGCGGCGGCGGGCGGCGGCGGCGGGATGCGGCCCGGGCGCGGCGCCCCCAGACGTCCCCGGGCCGGGCAGGCGGCGGGACGCGCAGAGGCGGTCGGGCGCCATTTGCAGCCCCGGGCGCAGAGGCGGCGGCGGCGGCGGCGGCGCGCCGGCTCCGAGGGGCTGGGCACGGCCACAAAGGCGGGCGCGAGCGGCGGGCGGCGGGGGCCCGCGGGGCCGGGCGGGCGGCGCCGGGGCGCACCGGCTCGGGAGCCCGCGGCCGCCCCTCCCCGCGGCCAGCGCCTCCTGCGCGCCCGGGAGGGGCTGCGGGACAATGGCCGCGCCGTCGCCGCCCGCGCCCGCCTCGCCCGGCCCGGCCCGAGCCCGGCGCGGGGAAAGGCGGGAAGGCGCGCGGAGCCTCCTGGCGGCGGCGGCGGGAAGGCGGGAAGGCGGGAAGGCGGCGCGGGGCCGGCGCCCGGCGTGTGTGGAGCCGTCGGGCGCCGCGGACTCGCGGAGGGTCGGCGGCCGGCGGGCCCGGGCTGCGCGGCGAGTGACGGGCGGCCCGCCCAATGGGGCGGCGGGGGGCGGCGGGGGGCGGCGGGGGCCGGGCGGCCCGGGGGCCCGGGGCTGCTCCCCGGCGCCCCGGCGCTTCCTCGGGAGGGCGGCTCCTTGGGCAGTGGTCCGAGTTGCTCCTCCATCCTCCATCCTTTGGTTTCATATCGTGATGCGACAGATCCGGACTCGGAGCCGAAGGCTGACTTGCTACATCTAACACATAATGAGCCATAATTTTTTGGTTTATGACGGAACCGCACAAACGCACCTTCTACCCGTGTAGACTGGCTCTTTTGTAAGTTAGTTAGCGGTTTGGCTCCTTCCCCTTCCAATGCGCTTATTTAGCATTGATTGTGCCAACAGCCAGATCCACATCTTTCCAAGACGTGTTAGCTTTTCTTTCTCTTTTCTTCCTTCCTTCCTTCTTTCCTTTCTTGATCTCATTTTTCTCTTTTCTTTCTTTTTTTCCTCTTTCCTTTTTCTCTCTCTTTAAAAAAAATTGAGATATGATTGATATATAACATTGTGTAAGTTTTCGTTTAAGGGATCTTTGGAAGATTCCCACTTAGTAGGCTTTAAGCTACACATGTCCGTATTCTGTTCTCAATATACGTTTCTGTTTGCGGAAGTTTGTTTAGTAAATAGAGGGTCTTCACTTATATGGATTATCTCACCTAATTTCACATAAAACAGGTCGATGGTTGTTCGACTTTCTAGATGAGGAATTGCATTAAGTGCAGAATGTAACCCTTAAACCAGAAGGTGAGCCATGGCAGGCTCCCAAAGCCCTTTTCTCCTATTCTTGTTCTTCATTTCCTCCTGAAGTCACCTCCAGAGTCTTCTGGAAAGCAGGTCGGTCACTTTGCTTTCCTGGTCTAAAATTCTTCATTGAGGGGGATCCCTGGATGGCTCAGCGGTTTAACGCCTGCCTTTGATCCTGGAGACCCGGGATCGAGTCCCACATCCGGCCCCCTGCATGGAGCCTGCTTCTCTCTCTGCCTGTGTCTCTGCCCCTCTCTCTCTCTGTGTCTCTCATGAATAAATAAATAAAATCTTAAAAAAAATCTTCATTGATCTTTAGTCAGAAAACGTCCAAAATGCGCAATGGGAGAATGAAGACTCAAATTTCCTCTCTAGTCCTACCTTCCACAAGCCTCAAGTATGGGTGGGTTTGTGGGGACCCCTGGAGCACTAGCTCTTCACTGATAAGGGATATCTTCACTGATCAGATATCTTTATTCCTGGGAACCTCCCTGGCCACACCAGTGATAAATGGGAAGTGATAATCTAACCTGCACCCCTTGGCCAAATGGGCACACAGGGATTAGGCTACAAGATGTCAGCAGAAGGCATCCTGAGTACCTGGGCTCCTTCTAGATCATGTAGATTTCTAGAATTTCAAATACTTGATTCATCTTCTATAATTTAACTCTTATTTTCTATTGAAAACTGGGTTTCTGTTTAATAGGCTTAACCCTTTCAGTGACATAATTACATGTTTATAATATTTAAAGGATTTGCTGTAAGGTTTTTTTTGATCCCTTTGAGTGAAGTTTTTGTCACTTCTTTGCTCAGAAATGGTCAGTGCCTCTCCATGTTCATTGGTTCCATCTTGCTCATATTAAAAGCAAAGGCCTTAGAAAAGCTGATCCTGTGATGTCCTATCTACCACACAGTCTGCCCCTCCTTTCTGACTCCGTTTCTCATTGTTCTCTCAGTCCTCCTAGCCTGCTGCACCTTAAAGCCTTTGCCATTCCATCTTCCTGGAACACTCTTCCCCTTGATACCACATGACTATCTCACCTCCTTTGGAGTTGACTTAAATGCCAACTTCTCAGTGAGGGTTGTCCTAGCTATGGTTTTGATTCTCTTAAATGTTTTAATACTTAATTCTAAATATTTCCAGGGTTAAAAGATCTTCATCCACCGAAGAATACAATTACCATGCTAATAGCTCAAGTTCTTTATGACTCAGGGATTTTTGCTAAGGAGGCTAATGAGATTGTTTTGGTGACCCTGATGGACACACTAAATTCTAGTTTAATGACTATATATCTTAAAAGGGATGGTATTGCAACCCACAGCCTTTTTTTTTTTTTTTTAAGAGAGGATGGGGAGGGGCTGAGGAAGAGAGAAAAAGAATCCCAAGCAGGCTCCACGCCCAGTGGAGAGCCCTACCCTGGGCTTGATCTCATAACCCTGAGATCACATGGCCTGAGCTGAAATCAGGAGTTGGGCACAGCAGCAACTGAGCCACCAGGCACTCCAACTTAAACCTTTCCTAATGACTTGAGCACTGGTTTGAATGCAAGTTATGTTAATGTACTGTGGATGTAAATATTACCACATTGTAACTGACCCAACTTCTAGGACAATTCTATTTTTTTGTGTAGTTCCGATTTGTGCTCCTTCCTACATCTCTACTGCCTTAGTTCAGTTCCTCACTGCGTCTTGCTTTGACAATTACATCAAGCTTTAAATTGGTCTCTCTGGCCCTGTCTTTCCCACTGTTTCTCTTCCTCCATGCTGTCTCAAGTTTTCCTCTGGATACATGAATTGGATCATTGTAATGATGATACCTAATATTTAATTGAGCCCTAGCTGCATGCCAGGCTTTGTGCACACGCTATGGTTAGAAGAATGCAAGACTTAGGTTTTGGGTCAGCCAGCCAGAATTCATCTCTGTTCACTTGATCCTGTGCAATTTTGGAAATTTTGTTTTTAAGATTTTATTAATTTATTCATGAATGAGAGAGAGAGGGGTAGAGACATAGGCAGAGGGAGCGGCAGGCTCCATGCAAGGGAGCCCAATGCGGGACTTGATCCCGGGATTCCAGGATCATGCTCTGAGCCGAAGGCAGACACTCAGCTGCTGAGCCACCCAGGTGTCCCTAATTTTGGAAATTTTTGAAAAATTTCTCTATGCCTCAGTTTCTTTTTTTTTTTAAACTTTTTTTTTTTAATTTTTATTTATTTTATGATAGTCACACACAGAGAGAGAAAGACAGAGACACAGGCAGAGGGAGAAGCAGGCTCCTGCACCGGGAGCCCGACGTGGGATTCGATCCGGGGTCTCCAGAATCACGCCCTGGGCCAAAGGCAGGCGCCAAACCGCTGCGCCACCCAGGGATCCCTATGCCTCAGTTTCTTTATATGATGTGGATCACAGCAGCGCCTCCCTCCCTGATGAAGCTGTTGGGAGGACAGCAATGAGTATACAATGTTTACCACAGTGCCAAGTGAACATTTAAGTAGTGGCTATTTTCATGGAGATGTAACTCACATGTCATAAAATTCTCCCTTTTAGAGTGTAAATTCACGGGGCGCCTGAGTAGCTCAGTTGGTTAAATGGCTGACTCTTGGTTTCAGCTCAGGTCATGATCTCAGGGATGTGGGTTTGAGCCCTGCTTGGGGCTCTGCACTCAGCGGGGAATCTACTTGGGATTCTCTCCTCCCTCTCCTCTATCCCACCTCCCCTCCCTCCACCCCTGCACAGGCACACACACTTGCTCTCTCTCAGATAAATTGATAAAGAAAAATTTAAAAAACAAAGTGTACAATTCAGTGTTTTTTAGTGTATTCATAGAGCTGCACAACCATTACCGCCCTCTGATTCCAGAACATTTTCACCATAGTATAAAGAAACCTCTTACCCATTAGTAGTCACTTCCCATTCCAAATCTCCCTACACCCATGACAACCATTAACCTCCTCTGTCTCTGTCATCTGTCCATGGTGGACATTTCATCTAAATACAATCATAAAATCTATGGTCTTTTGTGCCTCGCGGCTTTCACTTAGTGCAACATTTCAAAGTTCACATGCTTTAGCATGTGCCAGTAATTCATGCCTTTTTTAAGGTTGAATAACAGGGGATCCCTGGGTGGCTCAGTGGTTTAGCGCCTGCCTTCGGCCCAGGGCATGATCCTGGAAACCTGGGATTGAGTCCCACATCAGACTCCCTGCATGGAGCCTGCTTCTCTCTCTGCCTCTGTGTGTGTGTGTGTGTCTCATGAGTAAATAAATACAATCTTAAAAAAAATAATAAGGTTAAATAACAGTCCATCGTATGGATGTTCCATTTTCCCTTTGGTGGACATTTGGGTTGTTTCCATCTTTTAGCTATTATGAGTAATGCTGCTACGGACATTTGTATACAGATTTCTGTGGGGACATTTCCTTTCATTTCTCTTGGATATATACCTAGGCATGAAATTGCAGGGTCACTGGTAATTCTATGTTTAATCATTTGAGGAACTGCCAGATTGTTTTCCAAAATGGCTGCATCATTTCACATTTCTCACCAGCACTATATGAAGGTTCTGATTTGTTCAGATCCAACTCTTCTTATTTGTGTGTATGTTTGTCGTAGTGATCCTACTG